GAAAAAACAGGGTGGGGAAAAAAAAAGCCAAAACAATTTTATAAATGTTCTGCAGGGAGCCTGAATGTCTTTTGGTTTTAATTTGGTCTATATTTTTTTAACACCACCCTTTAGGGAGGCATGTGCAGTGATCATTATCAGTTCGTCCATACACAAAGCACACGAAGGTATAGTCCCCCATAAGTGTTGACCTTAAATTGTCTTTCTCTACATAGAAATGTCATGATCTTCATGAAGGAAACCTTTCTGCTTATTTGTGTAAATGAAAAACATGGCCTAACACACACAAATATACAGCAAATATAAGTGTACTAATATTTGACATAATCTTGTAAGGAAATGCTGAAGCATATGCTAAAATTAATTCATCAACCCCCCTAGCTTATCACAAACCTGTGACTGCTTCATTTGCACTCTGCTTAATGGTCCATCTTTCTCAGGACAACATGTTACAAATCTCTGTAATTTCATGCTCTTACCTTGCAGACCATGCTTAAAGAAAAGGATAAAATTAGAAAAAAGAAGCATTTTCTCCTTTCTTTTAAATGTAGCTCTTGTCTAAGTGCTCAGACAGGCACTGTCAGCTCTGAAAATTCAAGATTAATCAAGCAATTAAGAATTGATATCTAGTGACTTATCATGACTGGAAATGAGAGATGCTGCATTCATTTTAGTTCTGCAAGAACCCAAAATAGCTAACCTGATTTTTGTGGACAGCAAGATCTTAAATCTTATGGGGAGAACAGTTACAATTCCTTCTATTAAAGTGGCTCCTTTAGAACCCCCATCTGTGTTCTGCACATTCCTTAGCAAAGGGCCAGTCTGTACAGAGGGCCACGCTGGAAGAGCTGCACACTTCAGATTCACACCCTGCCTTTACCTAAATGAGTCTGAAAGTGTACGGAAATCCCAAGAGAGCCATGATGAAGTTTTGCTTTCTCTCCCCCATGTGCCAGCACAGCATTGCACTGCACTGCTTGAATGAATAACCCAACTGAGCAGGAATTACATCACTTCAAAACTGTGGCTTCCTTTAAACATTAAAAAGAATGGCAAGCATTTCCATTCACCTAATTATCAGCATTATCACCTCTCCTCACACCTCCTTCTCCAACATCTAATTGTTATGATGGTAGGGACTTCCCTGCTTCCTTCCTTGGGAGTGGAGAGAGCCTTTGCAACTCAACTGCAGTAATTTGCTTTCCAGGAGCTCAGGAACTTCTTCAGCAATCAGAAAGACTTCATGGGTTGGATGAGCAACAACTCAGCACATTCCCTCTGTAAACATGTATTTGGAGAATTACGGCATATGTATTTGGGCTTTCTCTGGTAATTTGGATATGATGAGCTTTCCTTATTGTCAAAATTATGGATGCCTCTATAAAAGAGGGAAGTAACTTCTGTAGCTTTGCTACCTCAACTAGGCAGATGCAGGTCTCATTGATACCTGCATGAGAAATCAAAAATGAAAAGCAAAGTGCAACAGAACCCATCAGGAAGAAACTTTATTTTTCCCAAAAAACTGTAAGTAGCTCAGCAGCTCTTATGTAGCCAGCTACTGGCTTCTTCCTGGACAACCTGATAGAATTAAGAACACAGAAACCTGAATTCTGTTCCAAACTTCACCTCTGATGCTCTGTAGTCTTGGAAATGTCATTTAAATTCCTGAGTCTCCATTTTTTCCACGCATGAAGCTGAAATGACATACTGAGCCTCGCAAGAACTTCTGAAACCTCTGATTTTAATAGTACATGTCAGTGCCAAAAGCACCATTATGGGCATTACAGCACTAATTCTCTCACAAGGGAGGGAAGCTCACTGTGTCACAGGTATTTTGGATACAATTATTACTCATGGAAGTGCTCAGATATCATTGCACAAAATTGTAGGCAGATGAATCTTTCAGATGGGATAGAAAGCAGAGGCCCTGACAGGTTATTAAAAGACATAACGTTTTGAAGAAGCCCATATGTTAGCTTTTTCATGTTCACCCTGTTCCAATTTGGATAATTACGTTCTAACTCTTTAAAGCAGGGTGGCTGACCTGCCTGGCCCTACCAGCTGTATATCCAAATCTTCATGTGGCCCAGAGTGATACAACACAACCCACATATTTCAAGAAGCTGAAGGAAAAGAGGAGCTCTAGGAGAGGTTCATCAGCTAGCGAGAAAGATTTCTTCCTGGAACAGGAGCCCTCCCCTCCCGCTGAAACAGTCCTTCCTTGAGAAGCAGCTTCTCTGTGTCACTTCCCACAGGAACCTGCCTGGTACTGTCAGGGCACTATCACACTTTGTCCCCAGGCAGCTGCATAGTGGCAGCTCTGTGATGCACAGATGCTGTGAACATTGAAGATTCGCAGCTCGCAACACATTCCAGCAGTTTACAGGCCTAGTTATTAATAGTGAAGGACCTAGTGACATACTAGTTACTAATAGTAATCTGCATTTCTACTTTATCATTAAGAAAGAAATACATTTCATCCCTCACAGTAAGTGAAGCCTGGCTTGCCCAAGAATCAAGCAAGAGAAGAAACTTATGGTTTTCATTCTTCTCTTGGAGATCGCTGGTGCTCTCTGAGCTGCTCCTTTTTTCTTTATAAACTCTCGATGATAATTCACTGTGCATTGCACATCTTGACCCCCACAGAATCCCAAAACACAGCAATATCTGAGCCTTCATCAGTTTCCTGACATAGTAAAGAAGAGAAGCAGCATTTGGTGCAAAGGATTTTTTTTCATCACAGACACACAGTAAATTTTCCCAAACCCAAGATAAGGTTCTTCCAAATGGTGAAAGTAGTGTCAATTCCAAGCAACCCCAAACATGTGGCTAATTTTGCCTTTCAGATGCCGCTCTTGACCCAGTGATGGTGTCAGCAGCCACTCTCCTGTCCCTCACATGGGCAGTCCTGTGCCAAGACATTGGTTTCTGATGGAGCAATTGCTCCAGACGGCATGGATGCAAAAGAGGGGAGCCTGTCCTGTCCCCATCTCTTCACAGGTGCTGGTGGCACCTGGGCCATGGCGCAGACCTTTGAGGAGTGTCAGAGTCACCAGCCCCAGAGGTAGAAGACAATCATGACTGGGGATGTTCTATGTGGCTGTAGCTGCCCACCCCGGGGAGTCTGTGGTCTGAGGGTTACCAGGGAAGCTGGCTGGGGCATGTGGGCACACAGGGGACAGGAAAGAGACCAGAGAGGACCTAGGGCACCATCTGGTGGCTTCACTCACTGTTTTCCCTAAATCCTTGCCTCACAGGGTCATAATATGGCATGGCCAAGGGCTGAAAGAACACAAAGTCTTCCCAATAGACAGCCCACCTGGAACAAGAGACCCCTGCCCTTGGCCCAGACTCGCACACCTGTAGGGTAGGACAGCAGTGCAAACCAGAGCCATAGTAACCATTTTTCTTGGGTGCTGTTCAGTCAAGCACTTCCCTCAATAAAGAGCCAGCCCTAGCTGGGTATTTAGAGATGATTTGCAGTAGAGACACCCCTGAGAAGGCTAAAGAAGAGAAGTCAGAAGTAATGAAGGAGAACACTTTGGACATGTGTTTCACTGCCATTATCAACCACAGTAAGGTCTTGTCTGCAGATAAAGGCAAAATATAGTTTGCACTGTTTCATATGACAAACCAGTACCCACGCAAGAACTTGTCCTCTGCAGAAAAAGACCAAATCAACAAACCTCTCAAGTGCACCCTGGCTTTTGCCTTCTCAAATAAGGATTTGCTGTAAAGCATTATGAAGGAGTCAATTTAAAGGGAATAGATGACCTCAGTGTCACCAACACCCTTTGTAGCAATGCACTCTCAAGACCAAAGGCTCATGTCTGGTGAAGAGGGCAAAGGATCCTAGTCGTAACACAGCACCTCCTTTAGAAGAAGGTAGGCAGTGCATTTCCACCTCACACCACTGCTTACCTTAATAACAGGTCTCCACTTCCCTGAAATCCTGTCAATAGAAAAGGATAAATCAATACCTGGGAATCAAATGTTATATCACTACCAGGGAGCCTGCTCTGTGCATAACAGCACCATGCTGGGGGAAGCAAGTGAAGCTGAGGCCCTTAGAGACACAGTTTTAAACAGGAATCCATTCTCAGCATTCAGTTTAAAGCAAAATGTATAGGGTGAACACAATAAGCCAGTCACTGCTTCTCACATTTATGAAGCTGGGGAAACTGATCCATAACTTCTTTTTTTTTTTTTTTTTTTTTTTTTTCCCAATTGCCTAACACTTAGAAATGAACACATTTCCTCTTGCTAGTAGCACTCATTTTTTGCACCTATTCTCATGGGCCACAGAGCCAGGTAAGACAAAAAGACCAAATGACAACAAAAAGATCAAGTGACTGCCTTTTCCCTGAACAAATCTCGGCTACGGAGTAGCTATACCAATATTATACGAATTATATTTCATAGTCTCTCCTACCTGTGCCTTCAGGCATTTCCTCGTACCACCCTGGAAAACTCCATACCATTTAAAACCATCCCTGCTCTCACAGCCTTCTGCTTTATGCTTTTCTCTCTCACACAGGCTGTGGTTGCCCATGACACATAATACTAAAGAAGTGATTTGAGACTGTGGCTTCATAGATTCAAACTTCCTTTTTCTCATGCAGCAGCCTTTTAGCCTTCCTCACAGGGCCAACCTAAAAGTCATTGAAATCAACACAGCAACCCACACCCCAATTTAGACAAAGTTTGGCACACAGCCCAAATCCTCACATTTGCCAGTGTTTCTTAGAAATTTTTACTTTTCATTTTATTGATCAAATCTGGTATGATTCTTTCATTACTTTAGCACTGACTGTTCTAGAATAGCATTTTCAATTCCAAATACTGTTCTTTCTCTCATGGTTTATTTTAAACAGCTTCAGCTTTTTTAATATATAGAATTGTTCAGGCATAAATGTAAGAAACACACTACTTAAAAAGGTACCAGAAACTCAAGACAAATCAGCTCACTGCAAAAAGAGATCCTTGCCAGGAAATTTCCAGTAGCATCCAGTATTTTTAACATCTATAAAATTTAAAAAACAAAACGCAAAGCCTAAGCATCATTGTTTTGAAAGTTTTTACTTTTCATCTAATCCACCAGCATCTGCTAAATATTTTATTGCCATACTGCAACATATTTATAATTCATCTCATCATTTCTTCAAATTTGTTAAGGAAAGAAATTATTATACCTGTACAATCCTCTGTAAATTCTTCTGTGAACACAAATTTTTCCTGGTCATATTAGTAAAATGTAAAACTTTTTACTTCAAAAATATTTATAATTGTTGTGATCACTTAACAAATTATAAATGGATCTAATAAGACACACTGTCCATCCATTGCATTTTCTGAAATGAATTCCTCAGTGCTGGGAAGAGAAAAAGCATTTTTCTGTGGTTAAAGAAAGTCCAAATTGCATGTTTGAAATCTTTTCTAATAAAAAGAGCAAAGCAATAAGCGGATTATCTCTTTAAACATAGTATAGGAAGGTTGGAGGCCCCGGAGACATTTTCCACAGCCTCTATCTCTGATACATAGCAACATTATCTTCAGCTAGAGAGGGTCCTATGACCCTGGAGCTCAATTTTAATTTGATCTTCTTCTTTAAAGAAGTTTCTACAATTCCTCTCAAGTTATCCTGCATATTCTTATTTTGGGTTGGTTTTATTTGGTTGTTATTTCGTTGTTGTTTTTTAATATGAGATAAAACAGCCTCAGCTTTTTGATCTGCTGGTTTGATCATCTTATACAGCTATTTAATGTAACTTCTTTCCTATCGGAACCAGAATATGCATCAGCACAAATGGTAGGCAAGTTCCAGCTGACAAGGGAGAAAGAACTTGGTTAGTAAATTCACTTCTAAGGCCTCCCTCCTCCTACCCCCTTTCAGAACTGATCTCCTTGGCCAATAATGTATGGCGGGGGGGGGGGCGGGTAAAGGAGCTTTATAATCTCTACAACAGCCAGCTGAAACAAAGGCAAACCGATTTTTTTTGGTGGGGCAGAGGTACCATGCCTGCTCCCACAGAGGCTCAAAATCCCAAGCGATAACAATGCCCACTGCCAAGAAGAAAAGGAAACTGGTGAGCTCCCTCTGGACTTCTGCATGCTGGAGCCTGGCCCCAGACCCGCCTGGCTTTATGCAGCCCCAGCAAGGGAGCTTCCTCACATTCCCACCTCTTTGTTCCTCTTTCTTGTTCTGGAATGGGCGCTGTCACTGAGACAGGTTGTCAGGAAGGGATATTTCTCTGTGTTCCTTTTCTCCACCTTTATCTCGGTCAGCGCATCCAGCCCTTACAGTGTACTGCTGATATTGCTGAAGAGGAAGCATTTTCTTAGAGGCACTGATTTGAGTCGCCCGAGGAAGGTCGCAGTAGGCATCTGTGACTACTTGATGGGATTAGCAGATTATCAGAAAGCCTGTCTGCTCTGGGGTTCCTGAGAAAGGGAAATGGGCAGCTGGATGCTTGGATCTGATTAAACTATGCATGAAGTCCTGTTGGCCATTTCGGCAAAGCCGCAAGCACAGAGTCAGATGGGCGGCTGCAGGTCAGGATCGGAACATCAAACCAGCAAGCAGGGAAATCTCTGGATTGTCCTGCCACTTGCAGAGGATCAACAGTAAAGTATTTCAGTTGAGGCAGGTGAGAGAAACCTTCACAGATTGCCCATTCCCAGGATAAGTGCTTGACAAAAGCAGCTTTTCTTTTGCATCAAACAACTTTGCTGCAAAATAGCCTTGTTGCATCAATGCAGACTGAGCCCCGAGGGATTTTAACAGATATATTCTGTTGTTAATGAAGGGCAGTTTAGAAGGGACAAGGGGCTCACAATTCCCTCGTGGTTGTGCTCTGAAGTCAGTGTGGATCTCTCCATGTATCTGCATCTCATCAGGGATGTAAAAGAGTAGCTCTGCCATACAGAAAGATGTCTGGTCCACATAGGGTCAGGAATCTTCCCTGTTAGATATTCTCATACAATGTATCAGAGGATTCTTCTAGAGTTTCTTGCTTCTTAGGTGTCTGCAGAATGATGAAAAGGAGAAAAAAGAAATGAAGGGAAATTATTCAAAAGATGATTAATTAATTCTTAATAAGCAGACGTTCTGTTAGAAATGGCTATAAGTGATCTGCTGAAACAGAAGCCACTACAGTGAGAAATGCTGCTCCACCAGAGACTAAAGTGACTAATCCAGCCCAAGGGATAAAGATGCCTCCTTTACTAGTCACTCTTCCCCAAAAAAACTGTCAGACAGGGAGGGGAGGGGAAATTGGACTCAGTAAGAAAATAAATCACTTGGGATTCTGTGAAGGAGGAATTCCCTGACCTCCTCAATCCTGTTTCTTCAACAGTCGAGTCTATTCCTCACGACCGTTCCTTGTGTAGACAAGGCGCTGACAGACTGATATTTTAAGTGCTGTGTGGCACAGGCCTGCTGTAAGCAAGGTTACACAGCAAGCAGCTAAAATGCCACCGGCTGAACTAAGCCCTACCTACACTAGCATTTTCTCTGTTGCCACCACCAAAGGGAAACACTACAAAAGTGCTGAGTGGAGGCACCCCCAAAGCATGCGGGATTAACCCCTTGCTATCCAAACTGGGCTAGAGTGACAGCATGCAAATGCTTTTTTCCTGAGGCTTTCTGCCCTACTTCCCTTTACAGCTTCCCCTCAATTGTGCAGCCTCCCGCAGCAAGAGTTGGGCTGGACCCTCTGAAGCACACTGAGTTCAGCAATCTCAGCTCCCACTCACAGGCCAAACCCACTGACCCATAAGTCTCACTCTTACGGAAAACATCCTCCTATATTCTGGCAAAGAGAGCTGGAGGATAAGTATCTCAAGTGGTCACAGCCCAGGATGACTGAGGAAAGCTGATCAAACTGCTTCCAACCATAGTAGATAGTGCAAACTCTCCAGTGCTGAGCTCATGGGATCCATGCCACTGACACTTCCCTTCCTCCAGACCAGCACAAGAACTGAGGACACTTGTTGTCTGCTCACAGTGTGAGGGTTCATCCCATCCCCTCTCTGCTTTCTTCTCCTCTCTTTCTCCCATCTCTGCTTTGACCTCTACTCCACCCTGGCCAAGGCTGACAGTGCCAGACCCACTCACACACAGATGTTCCTCTGCTGTTGCTTTGTTGCTGCTCTGTTTTACAGACCCTCTGTCCCTCCAAGCAGCAGTTGAATGGTGTGGGCCACACACAAGTAAATCAGCACAGCCTAGACAGCTCTCTTGTAGGGAAAAACCCCACACATACTTCATCTTACCATCCAGACTGAATCATTTCAGAGGGAGCAGCTGGTAAAGGTATACAGAAAAACAAACAGGATCAGAAAGAGAGCCCCTATCCAAATAATTCAAAATGCAGCAAAACACAAATGCAGGGATGCTGTCTTTTCCAGTGCACCATATAAGACAAGCCCAAATAGATCAACCCATCCTTCCCCTCAATAATCAGGAACCTGCCACTGCTATTGCTACTACTGCCATGGTGGTGACACAGCAGTAACTGCAGGAGGCCAGTGGCCATTGGGACCAGATAACACAACAAATAGCTCTGACACAAAGGGGGCTGCTTGATTTTAGACCACCTTTTCCTAAAATGTGGGAGTTGTGAAAACATCTCGGACACATGTCCTTCATGAAAGAGAAGGCTGGTGCAACCGAGGAAACTCTCCCCAACAGAACATTAATAGGAGAGAGCAGCAGATGTTTTCCAGGAACATCTACTAGCATTGGAAGAGGATATATTTTTTTAAGCAGATAACAGGTCTTGAGAAGAAAAGAAAAATTAGGTTCTGAGGACAGGAAGGAAATGTTTCCTGGGGTGCCTGGTGCAAGTTTTATCCATATGAAACAGCTGATGCCTACCAAAGGCAGGGTAGAAGGCTGTGTGAGCCTCTGATCTGCTTCATGTGGCCCCCACAACTGATTTACACCTGCATATTCCTAGTTGCTTCCATTTTCACTATGAGGGAATTTAGTTCCTTGTCTCTCATCATTCTCAGCCCAACAAGAAGATCCAAGTCCACAAAATACCCACAACTGCCTTTTCTTGAGCACCAGAGCTGACAGCAGAGATTGTACAAGCCCAGCCTCTGCCCAAACCATCTTAGCTTCTGCTACCATGAAATGGCTCTCAGGTGCTTAATGCTGGTGAGAGGAAAGTTGTGTTCAGGGTTTGCTGTTGGTGCACAGTTTCCTTCAGCCCAGAGAATGTCTCAGCTGCCTAAATAATCTGGAAGGGGCAATAACAGGACCAGCACCTTCCCAATTTTCCATGAATGCCCATCTTGTTCAGAGGGAGCAGTGATGCCAAACCCCTCAGTGCCTTTCAGCACACGTCATACAGCAAAACATCTGCACAAAACTGTGAGCGCCAAAAGTGGTAGAGCTGCAGGGGCCAGGGTTCTGCTGAAAGAGAGAAGAGAGGCTACATGTGCAGCCCAGCTTCTGAGTGCATGCCACATCTCATTTTCCCCTTTTGGTGGGACTGCAAACACATTTACTGCCTGCTAGGTCGTGAGACTATGTGGGGTTTCTTCCCCCAGGTGCCCAGGGCATATGGGAACTTTCCAAGAACATGACCCTGGCCCTTACCTTCCTTGGAGGATTCTTTCTGTGTGATGGGTTGTTTGTGTTGTTCTCGAGGCTAGAATAGACATCAACTTGCTGCACATCCAGGCTCTGCACAGAGAGAGAGAGAAGGCGTCAAATCAAATACTTAGGTTTAAAAAAACTAATTACCCACTGGGTTGCTCCCTATATCATGCCTGACATTTTTTAGGGACCCCTGCCATCTCTAAAATTTTTAAGTTCCTGACCTTAACTTGGGCAAACTTGGGCAAAAGAAAATCCTTTTCCCCTGAAGTCCCTACAGTGCAGCTGCATCATCGTTTTTTCAGGCTTACAGAGACAGGCCTTGATGTGGCCTACCCTGTGTAAGGCAGTGGAGAAGAATGCCAATGACCCTGCCTTCCTCTGCTCCAAAATTGTGCCAGAATGTAAAGTTGTGCACCAGGGTGACCACAGGTAAGAGGCAGTGCTCTGCACCACCCAAGACTGTTTAGGTGCCTGACAACCACAAGTTCTTGTTCATGATTATTCTGGGGACAAAGGTGAGACAACAGGAGACGCTGGGGGTCCTGAAGCACAGAAGCTGTCGAAAATGAACACAATATCTGCTTATTGTGTTTAAATGAACACAATTCTGTTTATAGTTTGTTGGGTTTTTTTCAAGCCAGAACTCTCCTTTCTTCTTTGAGTAAACAAAGAATAATAAAAAAATCCATATGCTCCCAGGCCCTCAAACATGGTCCCACTCAGCTACAGAGAAACACACACACCCCCTGCATGTATATGCACTCGTTGTCCCCCAAGTAATTGTGTCACAGGAGATGCATGTCAGTTTGAGTGATATTCCAGATCTGCCTGAAGGATCAAACATAACAATCATGAGGACTTTTCCATGTGTGTTTCAAGGATGACAGCAGGTTGCCAAGGTGGCTGTTTCTCTGGCAACAGGAAGATGGGAGGAGCTCTGGCAGCAAGAGGGGCAGATGGTATTAGTGGAGAGAGCAAGACACCCTGTAATGTAGTGAGAAGGATGAGTAAAACATGGAGGCTTCATTGGGGGCTGCCAATTACTTGAACCCTCATAATTTCATGCAGAGTTGCAAACTCTCAGCCATGGCCAGCAGGACAGTGCTTTGAACAGGGACAGAAGATACAGAAGCAGCACTGGGGAGTGAGTCTTAGAATAAACAGGCACTACGACATGAGTTGGCCACAGTGAATGGCTCTCACATTCCCACTGCTACTCTGGAAACAGCCAGATTATTTCACCTGTCTGCTTCCTGCTCCCAAAAACCTGCTTTGCCTACTCAGACTCCCACCATTTGCACATGCACATGTGCACACAGAAAATTCTACTTCCCCACACTCATTTTCAATTCCCTTTGTGATACTCACAGTGAGGACATAGTCTTGTGTGCTGAGCTTCCAGAAGCCTGGCTCCATATCCCCTTGGCAGGACAGGCAGCCTCTTTCTCTACTCCACTTTGAAGCTACTTGCAAGTAAGGTGTTTAACTGACAGAAAAGATTCCCTTCCTTCCACATGCCTTCTTCCCATGCAGGCTGTTAACAATGCTGGTCTTTTTCTGGTCAGTTGGAGAGCTGGTGTCTCCAGCCACCATTTGCAAGTTAATTACTTTTACTTGGTCACTGATCACCTGCTACTGTCACAGTGAAGGCACACAGGCCACTTTCTTCCCTGCTGACAGATGCTTTCCTATCCCTGAGCAGCCTCCTGTCTCCCTCACACCTGGAAAATCTCCTGTGCTCTGGAACCTAACTGCACCTGCACTGCAGGAGCTCTGTTTGCTGCTCAAAAAGGCTTGTTTGAAGTGTAAACCAGATGAGGCAAGTCCCTCAGATTGTTATTTCCAAGCTGCTCATTAACTGAGCAGCTAAGCTGGAAGTCAGAGGATATACAGGTTTGGTTCTGGGCAGTGCAGTGAGGTAGAGCTACTCTACAACTGTAGGAGGACAGAGAGGTCAAGGAAGGCAGTGTAGAGAGAACAAAGTGGGTTCCCAGCTGCCCCCTTATTACCAGCCTTTTTGCTACCTTGTATGCTTTTCACTGCATACCCCCCACCAGGGACCACAAAATACATAGTGGCACATGGAAGAGCCACTGGGGAAGGTATTTTCTCCTTGAAATGTTCAGTAGGACAGCTTTGCAGAAGGCGTGTTAGGACTCTTCCCACACCAGTGATAAGCCTTGCTACCATGTAGGATAACACAGAGCATTTAATGAGTTGTGCCAGCCAGTTCCAACAGCATCTGTTACTTTGATGTCCAGTGCTGCGTCCTCTTGCTTCTGCTCCCAGCTTCAGACCTGCAAGGACACTGCACTTCTCTAGCCTCACCTTTCTCCAAACTCCAACCTCTTGCTTTCCTGACCAGATAGCATAGCTAGCATGTGCTGCCCTCCTGTCCAGCCCCTGATCTCTGACTTCCTTCTTTATGTCATCACTGGGAGTTACTTCTCACTTGTTCTTCCTTTTTTCCTTGCCTTAGATTACCCCAATGCTGATCAAAGATTTTTCCCATCCCCATGAATTAAGCACTGAGTTCAACACCCACCAATAGATTTTCACAACTCAGTTTCAAACAGTTTGCAGGGCTGATTTTACACCATGCAGAGTCCCAACAAAATTGAGCTGTGGGGCACCAGATTTATTATTCAAAAGAAATAAGGTTTGTCAACTTTCTATCCCCTTCATCTGTCCTGAGGGCCCATCCAATGCAAGTTTCAATCCCAGGGCTCCCACCCTCTCTCCTCCTGTGCCCATTATGCCTTGCAAGGCTGTGCTCGCTGCTTTCCACATCACAGCCCTGCTCTCAACAACAGGAAACTCCCATGGGCAGACTCATACACCCCAGCATGCAGGAGATGGTCCCAGGCTCTTTGCAGCCCTGCCAAAGAGGGCCAAGCCACCTGCCCTGCACACCGGGCTGGCCAGGAGCCCTGAACAGCTGGTGTGTGGTTAACAGGCTTCACAGGAAGGCGTCTTGGGCCAGGTCCATAGGGCTCCTGCAAGCACAGGGGCTCAGCCAGCTCCTGGGATTGCCTGTGCCTAAGGCTGGCTCTGCTGGCTTGCTGTAAGTGGAGCCTGAACAGAATAACATGATGAAACATGTAATTAAGATGGAGCTAAGGATGCATGACGAGGCCGACTGAGCGAGAAATGGATTTGATTTTTTTTTTGTCTCCTTGCAGAAATCATCCACTTCAGCAGGAAACTACCCATTCGGAATTTATAAGCCTGAATTAGAAAGAAATTACTTGATACAAATGAAAAGGTTTATAACCTACAACCTCCTTTACCAAAGCATTGCCTTTTGCCCAGAATAAACATATCACATACAATACACAGTGCTCTCTTTTAAACTGCAACTCCAAAAATTAAAGGGGCACAAAATGGTGCCCCCCTCCCCACCCAGAGTAAGAATGAGAAGGGGCAGGCCCATCCTCTTGTAGGTATCTGCCACTGATCAGGTCTCCTGCCTCCCTGGCAGAACTTTGCTCCTCTCTGTAGTACATTCTTCAGAGCTTCACTTTGTTTAGTCTAAATGATTTAGTTTTAATGCAGCAAAGCTCACAGGTTGTCCTTGGAGAGACTTTTCCAGCCCTTATAGACCTCACAGACAGACGTTTTTTCTTATTTTGTGTCCATCTTTTTCTCTTCTTTTTTTTTTTTTTTTTTTCTTTTTTGTCCCAGGTGTCACATATAAAAAAAAAAAACAACAAACCCTTCCCTTAGTGGAGCAGCCATCCCATGGGAGTAAAAAGAGAGAAAGGAATCCATATAAAATGGAGCTGGACAACAGGTTGTAAATGGGATTAGGAATCATGGTTACTTGAGGTAGCTGAGGTCTAGGTCTGACATTTCAGGGAAGTCACTTCAATCCTACTACCTATGACACTGCAGCTACTGGACTCAAGGAGTGGGAGCAGTTTGGGAAATGGAAAAGGAGATCCTATACAATGAAAAGAGAAATGCTTAAAAAAATAAACTCTTTACTTTCTTCTTGCCCATTTCCCCCTGCTAGCTAGTGTGTCTGCTCAGGACTTCACTGGTCTGTGACACTGACACCAGTGAAGGTGACACAGCAGAGATGAAAACAGCTGGGGTTGGTCAGGGCATCATGTCTCTGCCCCTTTCCTGAGGCATCATTCTCCAGATGGGAAGGGCATGCCCTCATGACACTCTGCAGTACAAAGTGGGGCTGAGAGTCCTTCTTCCTTCCTGACTTTTGGAGACCCTTCTACCTCTTCCACCAGGAACCCTCCCTGGCTCCACACTTGCTGCTCTGTGCCACCGGCAGAGGGAAAGGTGCTGCTCAGCAGGTCATGGGGCAAGGCTTGGGCACTGAGGAGGCCGTGACTGGGACTGGGATGGAGACACACCGAGTCCTGAGAAAAGCTAAGCAGGGCAAGGTCACCAAGACCAGGCTGGTATGAAGGTATTGCTTATGATTCACATCATGACATTGTCTCTACTATGGCAGGGAAAGGAAGGGTTGTACCGTGATGTGGAAGAAGAGATGAAGGGTGATTCTGGTACTCACATCATAGACAGGAGGTGGTAGTGGTGGTGGGCTGGCTGAAGGGAGCTGTGTTTCCACCTTCTGTCTCAGGATATTTGGCTGGTTCCTTCTAGGGCACAACACCTGCTCAGTACAAGACACCAAATGACACATTTGGAGAAAACCACATGTCCCTCCCCAAAGCTAAAATTAATATCAATGTCATATTGAAGCCAGCTGTTTGCACACCTCCTGAATCCTTCCACAAGGAAGAGTGTTGGCAGTGTTTGTACAACACGTGCTGGTTACTTTCCTCACTACATGGTTAAGTGTAGAATCTAGTGACTTACACTGGAAAGGAGAACTGGGCTTTGTGTGTACATATAAAGAACTTTCACCACAGAAACCTTACTAGCTGAAAGGTGTAAATATTGAGCAGCACAAAACAATGCTAAAGCAGGGCACTGGTCATAGTGCAGAGAGGAATTTCAGAGAGGCAAAATGCAATTACTTTTATCAGGATTTGGCAAGTAAGCTTTTCCTAATACAGAGAGTCTACAGAAGATCATCAAACAACCATTAATGGTGACATCTAGTAAGTGATGAACAAGTCCAGCATAGAGTTGAAAGAAGAAGGTCCTTTCGTCTGAATGTTTCTTGCATCAGATGAGTTGTCCTTGAACACATTCCATTCACACACATACGGGTTAGCCCTGCTCAGCAAGCAAGAGGAGAGGCAGAAAAAGCAGAAGGCTTTGCTAAGTATCTCTGTTCTAATTCAGAAAGAAGTGGGATGATTATATTCACATCACATGAAAACGACAAACTGCTTTCCAGTCCATTAGTAACTAAGGAGGATGCTAAATAGCTTCTCTTAAAGATAAACATTTTTAAACCAGCAGGTCTGAGCAAGCTGTGGTGAGAAATATGGGCTGTGTTCTGCAGGAGGGCAAATGTAATGACTGCACAATCTCTTCAGACCCCAAGGAGAGGCCATAAGTCTGAGATTCACTGGCCCACCTCAAAACCCAGAGATGCCAATTGGTGAGTCATGACAGTGCCTCCCCATCTCATCCCCACAGAGACACTCTAGGCAGAGATGGGGGCCTGTCTCTAGCTGACTCCCTTTGCCTCTTACACTCCTTCCCCCACATCAGACTGCCTGCAAGGTAAGTCTCACGAGATTAGCCAGGCTGCCAACTGCTGCTGTTCTGTTTTCAGCCTCATGATCTCTGACTGTGTGTGCTGAAACCTGATCCTCTTCGGAGTCGAAGGACTGTACACGCAGCACAGCCTCCACATAAAAGAGCATGCAGAGAGTCTGCTGTTGTGGTGGCGGAGAGCAGCTTCAAGGAATTATGGGGCATACTCTACCTAGAAACCAACAATCCCAAATTCCATTCTAGAAGATGTAAGGGTATTTTTAAGCCAGTCTGGAGATCTCTGGAAGAATGCAGATTATGCTATTGGAACATCTGAGGGGTGGCAGTACTAGAATCAGTTGTTTTCCCCAAACAACAGGGATTCCAGTATCATTACTACAGATGGTTTCTCCATAGGGTCCATCTCATCCAGATCTTCTAGCTCTGCTTTTGGCTTTTCTTCTCTCACTCTTCAAATCCTTTCTTCCCCTCTTTTGGCATCCCCTTTGCTCTCAGCTTCCTAGATTCCCCTTCCTTACCCAGGAAGTCCCAACCTGGGACACTAGTCTGCTCACCCAAGGGGCTCTGGCTATCCAGTCTTAACACCCTTCTAGTGCTTCTTCACTCCAGATTCCAGTCCCAGTTTCTCCCCAGACGCTCATTCTTCCAGCCTCACAGAACCACTGATAATGGAAGGTGTCCCTGAGATTGTATAGTCCAATCCTTGTCCCTTTATCTTTTTTTCTTTTTTTTTTTCCCCTAGTTTTTTGTAATTTTCACACAGGATTCTTTGCGATTCCTGTCCTGACCTTCCCCTCTCACTCTGTCTCTTAATGTTTTCTCTGCCAAACAGATGTCCAAGGCTTTGGTCCCCATCCCCATCACAGTACAGAGTTTTTTTGCTGTGGTACCCAAGCTCAGGAATGCAGCTGCAGTTTCTTTGATAGAGTAACCTCCATCTTGAAAGAGGATTAGAAATAGGGAAAGTCCTATCAGGGTTGTAAAAGATTTGCTTGAGTGCACAGGACATTACTTGTCTAACTGGCCCCTTAACAGGGGTTTTAGACAATTGAACTGGTAAATTGACATAAGGCATGACTGAGTATGCGCAGACTGCAATTTTCCAAAATCCCAGCACAAGGCCACATCTCCTTGAATATTTTCACAGCCAGCACACTGCTAGTGTGCCTTCTTACCCTGTGTCAAATCCTTGCCCTAAAGCAGAGCATGGTGTAGTCAAAATGATTGCCAGAATTTCTTTAATGGGCAAATCACTTACTGGTTTTGTCTTTCCTATCATCTTTTCTTCTCAGAAAAACTGAACTTAAGAAAATAAACTGCATCAGACACCCAGCATGGAGACTTCCAATTCAGCTCAGTTAGAAGTAAATGGAATTAATTCCTAGAATACATCAGGTATTACTTTTTATTTGGTTATTACTTGCCTTTCTTTTCCACAGAAGCAAAGCTGTTGCAGTGATGCTCAATACAGCAAGAAGAACAGTAAGGGTAATGAGGATTTCCCACTCATAAGAGGTATTTATATATCCCGTATCTGTAAGAAAGAAGGCAAAAAGTTCACAGTGTGAGTGGAAACTACAGCCCTGCTGTATTTTTAATCCTGGAAAAAGCCTTGAGAAAACTAAAATACAGGAGATACAGAATATGGTGGCAGAAATGCACACACCCTTCAAAACATACTCTGAACAGAGAGGAGGGTGCAGCTGCAGAATCACACAGAAGATGCAAGGTATAAGCAGCTCCACTTCATAGATAGAGGTGATATGAGACAAGAAATTTGGTAGATAGAGGCTGGCAAAGGTCTTTTGTGATAGGAGCAAAAAGACAGATGTTGGAATGCACACAGGTCACACGAACTGGGAGGATGAGTACTCTAGGCATCCTCTGACCAGTGTCACAAAGTTACTTCATCACAGCTCTTTGCATTTACATTAACAATTTCTTGATATCCAACAGTCATTAATGCACATCCAGCCAGTCAGCAGCATGCACATCCTTATCACTTTTCTTTAACATTCCTCTTACGTTGCATCAAGCTTTCCAGTGCTTTCTAGTGTGCTCATTAACAGACCAACCAACTCCCTGTACCAAATGGAAAAGAGGGAGGCATGTCAGTGAGGCCATAACCTGTTTGTGAGTCCCTAAAACTGAGAATGCTGAACCTGTACATGTGATAACAGCAAGCACCCTTATCAGCTGCCTCTGTCACACCGCTGAAACCACGCTGTCTCCTGAACACTGACACCTAAAAGCACTGTCTGACCCAGTGCCCAGGCTCCCTGAATAGATCCAGATTCCCATGTGGCAGGGCAGATATAAATTACTGCCTCTTCATGTTCCCATCTATACATTGGGAACAACAGAACACCTGTGCCAAGTGCATTTCAACTCTGATGGCAATTAGTATTAGGCATAAAGCATTATTCCTACCTCACTTCACAGCATGTGTGGATAGAGAAAAAGAGCAAAGATCAGGTTTCCATAGCCAGATACAGCTGATTTTTAACCTCCTGACCTTCCTTTCTGGTTGTTCACTTACCTCTAATAAGGACAAACACTCCCTTTCCCATTTTTTGGATATCATTCCATATGACCTTGCAGTAATACGTGCCAGTAGAAGAGGTGTTTTCAAGTGGCATGATTCTGTAGTCATAAGATAAGGCAGCAGTCTTATTCTCTTCTCCAGAAGGAATGACTATGTTTTCCAACCTACTATAGATAGATGTCTTCTGATCCAGTGAATTAATCCAGTAATAGGAGATTGAAAATTTGGTGTACTTCGGCATGTAAGGGAAGATGACTTTACAGGGAATGGATATTCCTTCCTTGAGCAAGGCAACCTGGATTGGAGGTTTCTGCTGTACATCGACATTTCCTCCTGTAAGGGTAATAATTGTTAGCAGAAACCTAACCTCACTTTTAGTAAGGAGAGGACAGCTGCCCCAAAGACAGGATCACTCTGAAAATAACCATACACCAGGAAGCATGCCTGTAGCATGCAGTGTTGGCCCTTGTCAGAAGCTGAGTGATTCAGAGCATGTGCCCTGTGTGATCTGCCACCTCTCTTGGGTAATTGCTGTCTGATCCATGATAGCCTGCTGCATTCACAGGCTTCCCCTTTTCTCTTGTGAGCTCCTCCATACAACAGCAGCACACAGAAAGACAGGAAATTAAGCAGGAAGTGAACTGATTTTGCAGTGGTGTATGGACATATTTACAGCAGGTGAATAGAAAGCAATTTTCCAAGATAAATGCTAGCTGGACATCTCCTGAGTATAAACCTTGGGAATCTACATGGGGCTGTGTGATGGCTCTGGGGCAGCGAAGGTGTTGTATGCAAGCAAGTGTTATCAGTGGGACTGTATATTTCTGAAAAGCAAGTGAGGAAGGAGGTGGCATATTCCACATAGGGGCCAGCACCAAGGCCGTGAGAAATAAATAAATCACTCCAAACCTTTGCTGCTCTAAAATGGGAGCAAAGCACAAACCTCAATGTTAGTTACAGGAACTATCTGCAGATCTTAAGTGTTCATACATAACAGTATCTTAGGCAGAGATGAGAGCAGGCCCTTCATATGCTTCCTCCTAATACATACATGGCAGTTTAAAGTGATCTATCAGTGTAACTCAATAGACAATTATATCAGAAGTTAAAAGAAGGGACAAATAAGATGAGGAACCACACCACAGTTCACTCGCTGTTTTGTTTAATAAGAAGAAAAGAACATAAGAGTCAGCCACAGGCTAGTAAGGAAGCTGGGGTACAGGACTTCTTTGGTTCCCAGCCAAATCTGGGTTTGATATCAGGCAGTCTCTGGATCTATTTATTTGTCAGCTGATATAACACCACATATAAAGCAACTTAAGAGGAGGCTCTTTGAGAAAGGGAACTGGAAACTTATAAGTCTACTCACAAAATGAAGGATTCTTTCAGAGACATGAAAAGAGAAGAGGGAAAAAAGGCTAGAGAGAGAAAGTAGGGGATGGGCAGGCTTTTCCATTTATGCTTTTGATGGGATTCCCTGGAGTTCTGCATCTATGAACAGGCTCATAACAAGGTATTAAAGCTGTCCCAGAGCACAGCCAGGCTTGCTTTTCTGTCACCATGGACTAACGCTGCATCACAACGGCAGCGTCACCTCAGCACAGCGGGAGCTGGCATTGGAAAAGTCAATTCAGGCTTAGCACTGCTGAGTGCTGAGCGCTGAGGATTTGTGGTGGGGGACAACAATGGAGAGGGGGCACAGCTACTGCCCAGAAAAGACTGCTGGGAAGTACCATATGTTAAGAAAAATTCTCTACAGATCACATAGCCAGGGACAACAGCTTGACAATAAAGAAGAGCTTAGGTTACAATGCCAGAGAAAGGTTCTTGGCTGTAAAAGCAACTGAGATACAGTACAGTCCTCAGGGACATGCTCAGGCCTGTGTACACTAGTTACAATATTATGGAAAGGTAGTAACAAAATCCTGCAGACACTGTGGGAGTGATAACTCAAGTGTTTTATTCTGGGCCATATTTTTCAAATCATTCATCATCCTTCTCGTCATCTCTACATAGTGGAACACACATGAATATAATTTCTATATAAGATACAGCTAAGCACTACTGTAACAAAAGAGAGGAGAGATCCATCTTCTCATATTATCCCAGAAGCCACTAGGTTGAAAAGAACATACCAAGGAAAAAGCTAAGACATTTTATTTAGGTTATCTAACCCTTCTCCCATGTTCCCCCTTTCTTGAGAATTCACTCTCTTAGCTTTGAAATGCTTAAAAGACAGAAATAGCAGCAGCGTGCAAATTCCTAGAGGGGATCTCTGGAAATTAGCAAAAGATAGCAGCTGGAACTGCTCTAATATGCAAAACATGAGAGTAAACAAAAGGAATTAAAAAGAAAATATTTGTTTACCTCCATACTGAAGCAACCAAAGAAACAGGAAGATGACTTTTAGATTTGGGATCATGATGGGGGGGTCAAAGGCTGTAAGAATCCAACCAGAAACAAAGATCCCAAAGGCAAAGGAGGTGGGGGTTTGTCAGGTATTGTCATGCCAAGGCAGCTGGTTGATTGCCTCCTGTTTGCGAAGCGACAGGCGAGTTGTACACACACTGCATTTGGCAAGCAGTTCCTGGCAGACACAACCTCTTCTGCTTTTTGGTCAGACTCCTCCCCACACCAGGGTTGACTTCTCTGTACAACAACGATGGTGTTAGACCCACTAGTGGGTGTCCAAAGACTAAACCAGAAGCACTTCAACACACAGAGTTTGCTTCCTGATGACTGTAAAATATCACATGCATTTGCAGCAAACTGTCACCTTCCACAAAGCATGGGATCACCTGTTTTGCCTTCAACACAGAAAACCAGTACACGTATGAATAGTTGTACAGAGCAAAGGCTCTACTGTACCCCTGACTCCACAAAACAGCCCTCTACAGCCAACTTCTCCAGTAGGTCCCTTGAGAGGAAGGCACTCGCATCCACAAAGTGAGAACAGCCAGACAGCGAATTCATCCCAACAGCTGGACCGTTTCAGATCTACACCATGCTGGCTCTGAATCAGCTTCACAATGTAGGCAAGCTTTAAGTAATCTATTGTAGGCAAATCTAAGGAGAGCCCTTTGAAAAAGAAAAACCACGTTTTGTGGGAGGCTCCTGCCGCCTATACTCATGAAGAGTCTTTGATTTTCAATGAAAAGCTAAGACATCTGCAATGCAACAGCTGAGCAGCATCTGACTCATAAAAACTTCAGTGGGTGAGAGGTCTTCACTTCTCTTTAGACAGCTTCCTCCTTTCACACTTCTTGCACTGTCCACAAGAAAGCACTTTACTGCAACTTCAAGGGTGCCTATTCACATGGGGTGCTGTGCTGCAGAGGTGGGGGATGGTCATGTGGGGAAAGACCTAAGGCAGCAGATGAACCTGTAAGCTTCACGTATTCAAAAGCACTATCAGGTGTTTTATGCCTCTAGACTTTGTAGGAATGAGGTTTACTCCGAACAACATTTGGTTTACAGCATTTTTCCTCCTGTTCAACCTGGGACAGGCCCCCAGGAGGAAGGGGTCTTGACACAGGGGGAGGCATGTAGCTGCATGACACCCAGGGATGACTCCAGTACCTCTCTGAGAGCCCTGACAGATGGGGAGAGGAGAAAGTGGTTTTGTGCGGCTCTGCAAGGCTGGTGCAGCAGCTGCACTCCTCCAGGGAAGGTTTAGCTCAGATTAGCCAAAACCAACTCCTCTCCCCAAGACATGCTGATGTGAGCTGCACGGGGCTGGTCTCAGCTGGAAATCACTCCTCACAGGTCTTAATGCTGAGCAGCAAGGACAATCAAAAGCAGTAACAAGACACTTGGGGCCCACTTGGTATTTCAGATATGGAGGCACAGATCAGGCAGTTGTGGCTCTGGGGTCACAATGGTATTCAGAAGCCTTTCTCAGGCCTGAACGGCATCTCAAGGTACTTGGGGCAGGGAGAGAGAAGGAAGCAGAGGCTCACTACCTTCCTGTGGAAGAACTCCACTGAATAGTGAAGGCTTCCTCAGCTCCTATATCATGCTCATCCCCATGGTAGCACACAGCTTTGTAATTTCCAGTATTGATGTATTTCTAGAGGACAGAACATGCTGCTCCTGCCAGTGATGTGTTTTAACTGTTATCAGCATTTATCTGCTTCAGGAATTCAGGGTGATAAGTGGATTAAGTGTGGTAGGTTTGTAGGGCTGCTAGGTCAACATCATCCTTCCCTCCTTTCTGTTCTCTTCCTATAAACAATCCTGTTGCCACTCAAAATACCAAGTCCTAGAAATATCGCTGTCTGGAATTAAAAAAAAAAAAAAATTCTAGTATTTCAAAAGAGATCACACATAAAACTCAGCTGTGGGATTAAAGGCACAGCCAGGCCAGAAATACATTCACTGCTGGGATTTGCTATGGTAGAGCTCACTGAAAAGAAATGGCTTTGAAACGACTACCCAGCAGCTATTAACTGCGAGACAGGATGACATTCTGTTCCTTAGAGCCTAAAGGGAGCCTGAATCTTTGAATGTTAAATTCTAATTCAATTTGGTCTGGGGATTCTGAACTGAGTTTTAACCCTGGAGACATAAATGGAAGAAAGATGAGGAAAAGCTGGGGAGCTGCTATTACCAGCCAGTAGCAGGACTGAATGGATCACCCCAAAACTTAGGTGGAACTAACCAGGATACCTGTGCCAAAGGAAATAAATTAAGAAGCTCCAAAGGAATGGGTCATTGTATGACCTTCATTCATGCATTATACAGTACATTGGTGCATGTGAGCCAGTCCCTACAGTATGATGAGAACAGCCTGGCCAGTTGTAAACTCACCACCCAGGACCTGTATGGCTTGGTCCTTCTTTTGATGCAGTGAATGCTGACACTTCCTGAAATTAAATAGAGGATTGGGTAGATTCAAGGCAGTTTCTGCTTGTAATTGAAAAGTGGATATTAATTTCACTCAAGCACTTTAAAAAGCCCACAATAGTGGCCAGTATTCCCAACAGTGAGGAAAAGCACGTTGTTCCGGAAGGCTTGAACAACAACTTCGGGCAAGTACTGCACCTACCAGAAGTGCCGGTTCACAGCTGTGTCCAATGTACACCCACAAGTCAAGGCACACACACACACACAAGCCCACACATGCCCCCACAGCCAACTCCAGGGAAAGCATTAATTCAAACAAAAAGGCTGCTTCTAGCCAAGGCAAAAGCAATGCTGCAGAGACCACAACAAAGCCTCTTTATTGCTGAAGCGTTTAACACCACAACCATCCAAAAGAGAAACACCACTTGGCACACAGAAAAGCTGCAGCAGCTCAGCGAGCCTGATTGCACAGAGCGCTTCAGAGCATTCCCCAGCACAGCAGCTCTGGGTTTGCTGCCTTGTCAGAGCTCAAACCCCCATGGCTGGAAAGCCAGCCAGTGGCAACACGTGCACCTCTGAGGATTCACAATCTCTTTGACTCATCTAACCCCAGACTCCAAGGCGTAGAGTTTCTCCCTGTCTGGCAGCAGGAGCGATAGCACAGCCAGCATGAGCAGGACCGTACCCCTGCCAGCATTTTTACTGCTGTTGTGTGGAGTGCCTCTCAGCAGGGCTGGATGATGCTGAGGTAAAAGCTGCCAATGCCCTCACTACATTTCTACCACTGAAATGCTGTAGGGAAGATAATTATCAGTGACTTGATGGGAAAACAGAAAATTAGAGGTGTTGACACCACCATGGGGAATGGAGGGGACAGTTCTCTAAATCCTTTTCATCAGCAAAACAAGTCTGCCTCAGAAATCACCTACTCCTGCTTTTTTCTCTGCTCACCTGCTGGAAGGATTCCCAGGGACTAAGTTACCACCACAGGCCTGACGCACTCTCAGAGCCGTGCCTCGGCCTCGCGGCGAATCCCACCCGTTCTCCTTCACTGGCTCCTGCGGCCAGCGGGAATTCGCCTGGTGGGAGAGCTTTGCCTGCTCAGGGTGACGCCTCCCAGAAGAGCATCCACCTGGCCGGGCCTGGGGCTGACGCGAGGCCAGGGCGGAGCGGGTCACGTCAGGGGTTAGCTCTTGTCCCGTCAGCCCTGCCCGGCCCCTGCGGGCGGCCGAGCCGGGCTCCGCGGGCCCGGTCCGGCGGGGCGGGCAGGCACGGGCGGCGGCCGCGCCCTCGCCCACAAGATGGCGCCGCCGCCCCGGCCGCCCCCTCCCTCCTTCCGCGCCCGCCCGCCCACCCACCACGGGCCCAGGGCACCGGGGGGCCGGAGGAGATGGAGAAAACGAGCACAACTGGGATCCACTTAAGGCAAAATTAATGCTAATTAACCGTAATCAACAGCTCGAGGAACAACTTTTACTCGGCAAGCAGCAGATACTGCAGTTCGCCCGACATGCACGGGCAGCAGACGGCAGCAGTCGGGGTGTGGAGAAGGAAAAGGAACCGCTGTGCCCAGGGTGTAACCCAGCCCCGCTGTGTCCTGCCCTCGGCGCCGCTCCCTGCGCCAGAGGCCACTGTCCCGCAGCAGCCCAGCCCAGCCCAGCCATCCCCGCACGCCTCTCGCCCCACCGCCGGACACTCCCCTCGCAGCCTCGAGTCCCTTCTGCTGAGCACAGGGAGCTGCCGGCGGCATTGCCTCCAGCCCTGGCACCGCCTCCGCCCTCACAAGCCGTCCCTTCTATGCCCAGGGTGCTCTGGAAACTCCTGCCAGTGCTAGTGAGGAGCAGTTTTATTATCAATGACAATTGTCAGCTTGCAGAGGCCTCTTGGTACCACACGTGGGTGCTTGCCGCCGCAAGCAAAGCCCACATACCTATTTCATGTCACTGACCAGTGATGCTGCATTAGTTAAGGGGCATTTGTTATTGAATTCCAGGATGCTGCATTAGTTGATGGTGTTCAGCTTGCTGTGGTTGCCTCAGCAGGAGCAGGCTCAAAGGAGTGTCCCCACAAACAGCCACAGACTCACACACCTCGACAGCCCCCATGGGAGCATGAGTACGGGAGTAGCAGGCCCACAGCCCTCCCACGGTCACAGGATATGTCACCAGCCCCTCAATGCCACAACCCGAACAGCCCAAACTTTCTCACGTTAGCAGCAAAAATGCTGGGGGTGGGATGCTGGGTAGGAGCAGGGCATGCTGCCAGCAGTGCTCTCCTAAAACAGGAGTCCCTGGGCCCCTGCTTGCCAGCTGCATGCCTTGAGGTGTGCACATCAGGCTCTGAAACTGCTGAGTGCAGGGCTGTGCATCCCCCCTGCTGGGGGTGAAGGGGGGCGGGTGTGCAAGTTTGGCAGGTGCTGGGTCCTGTGCAGGGCACACACAGGGAGGATCATGTTGGACAAGATGGCAGCAGTTGCAAGGGAGCTGCAGGACTAGTTCCTGCCAGCAATGGCCTCGCCAGATGGCCCTTCTGGTCTTGTCTGTGCAGGAAAACTCCTTGGGCCTCAGCCCTGCTTCGAGCCAGCCAGCTGTGCCAACCCCAGCTCCCTGCAGCCTGGCAACAGTTTCTGACTGCCCCCAGGTGCCCAAGCCTGCCCCACAGCTGACTCCAACTCTAAGCTCCTTCCCTCTGAGCTTGTTGGAGTCCCTGCACTCCCTTTCACCCAA